TGACCGAGTTATACTTGCTGTGGTTTAAAAAGATCTCATCACCACGTCAATTCTGTTAGAAGGTTCCAGCATGTAGTGCTACCAGCACATTGACATGTGTGGGCTGATGTAATGTGGTCTTATATCAACAGCATGTGTATGATTTACCTCTAAATGTGATTCAGACAGTCTTAGTCTTATTATGTGTACTTCAAGTATTAAAAGTAATAGTACTTGCTGAATAATTTAATGTTTGCTATATTATCCTGTTTTTATACATGTAAGAGCATTTTAGTATTGAAGGTGGTCAATGTGGAGCAGTTTAGAATTCTGTGTAGATTAGTAGTACAGTGCTGCATTATACCATATCAGCATATATGTGTTTTTTACTTTAAAAGTATGATATTTACCTCTGAAATCTGGCGGAGTATAAATATAATGTAGCATTTAATTACAAACATGTCAAAATAGCACTTAACTATAATACTTGAGTAAATGTACTTAGTTACTTTCCACCACTGCACACAGATAGCAAATCAAAACTCAGACAAAACATGAGCTGTCTTATGTGACAGTTTCACAATCTGCTGTCAAATCTGTGTTTGTGGTCCAGGTTCAGGGACCAGTAACCCTGTCTGCTCAGTATGGAAGTTATACGCTTGTGTCTCCCAGTGGACACATTTGACCAAACTCTTATTTTTCTCGCATTGCAGCATCTCCATTTGCACCATCAACAACTTCAGCAGATGGATTGAATGTGCTCCTAACGTAGCAGATGGAGGGACTTTATGAGAGTCAGTAAACCTATAAGACAATTCCCTCTGTTCCTTAGTAATTATCTCAAGAGCATTATTATCACTCCACCAAACCACTTTACATATATTTTACTGATAAGGCTCTAGCAATGGAAAATGTAAAGTGGAGTATACTCTCTCTGTTAACCCTTATGTATTGCTGCTGTCGGACTTTCACACCTGTTTGTGCTGTCCAAAATCAGTCCTTCTTCATAAGGTCACCTCTTATGCAAAATCCACTTTTTCATGTATTTTATACATAAGCATGTGTCCCCTCTGTGTAAAGAGATACTGGAAGTTTCAGGAAAAAAGACCCCCTCTATTTTCTATCTATCTGAAAATGAGCTGATCAGTTGTTGGCCACTTTATGATGTCATAACGATGTTTTGTCTTGTGTAACCATTAGCCAATCAGCAACCAAGGTAACCCCCCCCACCTTATTACCTGAATCTCCTCCTAGAGTACCATTGTTTTTTTTAAACCAATCAACTCTCAGAGGGGTGTGGCCAGCAGCGGCTCATTAGCATTTAAAGCTACAGAATCAGCACTTTTGGAACAGGGCTGAAACAGAGGGGTTTGGTGTTTCAGCCAAACACTTCAGAGACATGTTCTGTATATATCTGAGACCTGTGATATATTGTTGAAAAAGAGTATTGGACCTTCAATGTTTTTCAGCTTATAGTGTGTTCCATCTTAACAGCACTTTAAAACACGATATCTGTTTTCACCTGGTGTTCTGTGCTGACTTACTTAGTTTTTGTTCTTGTGAAACTATATGAACACCGCTGTGCTGCTGTCACTTTGATACATGGCCTCATGCTTTGCTGCACATTAAATATCTGACAGTAGAGCCAAATTGCACTGCGTTCTGTGGAAAGATAACACAGCAGATCCCATTCATCAAGGCTTCTGCTTTCCTTGGGTGTGATGGCAATAAGTATTTCATCATTAGAGTAATGGCGTGTGTTTTTATTGGTACGCTGATAATGGATTGTTGGTCTTGTAGTCGGGTCACTCCTCTGGTGATAGATTATGTTAATGGTTTATTTAACTATCACACGGTTTATTGCTCCAGCGGTCATAACTAATATATCATTGTTAAACAGATGCTCTCTGTCACACACACACACACACACACACACACACACACACACACACACACACACACACACACACACACACACACACACACATACCATGTATACATCACTTCAGGGGACATTACATTGACTTACATGCATTTCCTGGAGACTTATCCTAACCTTAACCATAACCAACACATGCCTAACCCTAACCCTTACCCTAACCCTAACCAAGTCTTCACCCTCAAATTAATGATTCCCCTCATGGGGACCTCCATTATGTCCCCATAAGGGAGGCGAGTCCCCACACGTGACTGTGTAAACAGATGTAGGTCCCCACAAGTATAGTAATGCTAGACCACACACATACACACACACACACACACACACACACACACACACACACACACACACACACACACACACACACACACACACACACACACACACACACACACACACACACACACATACACACATGCACACAAATACACTAGAACTTCTGCTGGGTACTGCACATGGTATTTCACTATGTTTTTATCAGGTAGTCTTACTGTTGCATGCTTTCAATAAACCTTCACAACTCTTTTCCTGAATACATCTGCTAATGGTGGAAGTGAGTTTTAGACCTCAGGGTGTTTTCTCTACACAATGCTTGGTGACAAAAGGCTGTTGCAGTATTTCTAACAATGAGATAAGCATTCAAGTCTCCTGTGAGCATGAGAGACTGCTTTGAAATTAAAAAGTACAAAAAGTCAAAGGTACAAGACTGTCTACTTCGGGAGGGAAGCCAAGTCCCAGAGCGCACTGCAGTAGGAAGCATCCAATCACAAGCTTCAAATGATGTTGCTATGGAGCTGATTAAGCCACTGATTTCCCATACAAACATCATGTTACTCTACATGAAGATTACTAATCAGCTGTGGATCCGTGAGGACTTCTGGACCAGCTCAGTCCTGCAGACGACACACACAATATGTTTCAGTGTTTTCTCCATGGCAACAGTGAAACATATCCTGTAGCATAGATAGATAGATAGATAGATAGATAGATAGATAGATAGATAGATAGATAGATAGATAGATAGATAGATAGATAGATAGATAGATAGATAGATAGATAGATAGATAGATAGATAGATAGATAGATGGATGGATGGATGGATGGATGGATGGATAGATAGATAGATAGATAGATTTAGAATTGTATTAGCTCATGTATCTGATCAGATTATGCTTATTCATTATCATAAGTACATTCTGAAACCCATCTCGCTCTGTCACCCTTTTGGACTGATTTACATCCACATTACCTTTTCCCTGCCACCTCTCCTGCAGTGATTATTTTCACTTTTTGTATTCTCTCCTGGTCGTCCTTGTCACTTTGTATGTCTTGCTCGAATGGTTAATTGGTGTGGTCACCTTAAACTGCAGACGTCCTTTTAATACATGTCCCAGCCGGACCCCTCACAGTCACTTATTACAGTCTGCTGAGCAGTGCTCTGAAGAGTGAGCAAGCCAAATGTTCCCCACTGACCGAGCAAGGATAATACTCAAACATACCTTGAAATTTGGCATCTTGAAAAACAGCATAGAGAATTATTATTATTTTCAAAAGTGTGACTGAATTGCCTCTCAGCACTTCACTTTCCCTCGAATATTAGAATGCAAATGGAAGCGAGCTTTCAATCGAAGCTAAAAAAAGAAAACGCTTCTTTTCAGAAGGGTTTAATGTTTGAATTGAAGAGCTGTTTGAAGAGAATACAGAGTGTTTTCTTTTCTTCTTTGTATTGCCGCGCTGCTGCATTTCTAACAAGGCAGAGGGCTTTCCAGAGGTCTATTTGATATACATGAGTAAGCACACATCTCCCATGCTAATTTTCTGCACTGCAGTTCATCTCTCACCCTTGGAGTGCAGGAATATAAACTGTTGACCCGCTGCCTGCAGACGCCTCGCAGCGCCCCTCCCTGATTGGGCTCCACGGTGCTTCAATCAGCTTAATTGGCCGGGACTATAGTATCAGTGAGAGCAGAGAAATGAGAGGGGAATGCTGGGAGTGGAAACAAATGTAATGCTGCATCGTGCACGCCTCATTATTTGTTGATTGACACGTTTGCAGGGGGGTTGGGGGATCTGAAAACAGATTTGAGGCAGCTCTGACTTTGGACACATTTAGTTGATATTCATTTTTGAAATCTCAGACAGAATCTGCACACAAGACAGAGAGGAGCAGAGACTCTATGAAGGCATGAAAGCTGAACGTGTGTTGTGGATGCAGTGACGCAGCGTCCACACGGCAGCGTGCGTTGAAGCTTGCCGGCGGGCGTGTCTGAAACTCGACCAACAACTAATCACATGAATCTCCCGCCCCGGACACACAAGCACGCGGTTTGATTGGCTAAAGCTTGTACTGGCATATGATTTGATTAGCTGACGCTTCCGTTGAAGCTTCAAAAGTTGAACTTTTCTCAACTTTTGAAGCGAGCAACGCGAGCAAAGCGAAGTGACGGAAGCACAATGCAGTTCGGCAAAGCGTGACGTCACCCCATTCAAAGTGAATGGGCAGAAGTGTTGAAGCCTCAACGCACGCCGCCGTGTGGACGGGCCGTGAGGGTTTGTGGACCTGAAGGCAGGGGGAGGAGCCTTGTTCCGTTTCAGCACTTAGATGATTGGCTGTAGAAATGTACATTTAAATGTAATGTATTTCTTAATTCATGTGACATGAGTTGTTTTTTCCATTACTTAATTAGTTTTATCATTATTCGTCTGGAAAATCATTCAGTCTATAAAGTAGCAAGTAACATTATTGACTAAATAGAGGTAAAAAAAACATGAGTTGTGCTAAAATAGATCATTTGAATATAGAGACATACATTTACATAAAATAACTCAAATATTAAAACTCCAATGCTAAGGTATAACCATGCTCAAAATAATGTTGCGTGGGTCACAATTTTTTTTAAACTGAAGTCATGTTGTTTACTATTTCTGTTTTTATAGGCCTCACCATTTTCTCTAAGTGTGTTGTTTGAAAAAAAAGAACTATCTTTACCATATCGTTTCTACGTAGATATATGTCATGCTGTGTATTCCTACATTATACTCCTGTATAAATACTTATTTCCCTTTGTTCACTCGTTTCCAGCTGTTCTTGTTCCAGTTGCTGAGAGGCCTGTCCTACATCCACCAGAGGTACATCCTGCACCGCGACCTGAAACCACAGAACCTGCTCATCGGAGACACCGGAGAGCTGAAACTCGCTGACTTCGGTGAGCAGTCCGACTGATGCTGTTTATCTGTTGAGAGCTGAACAACTGTGAAAATGTGCTTGGCCTCCATTTCACAGTTACTCTTACAGCTTTTAGTAGTCATATGCCCACCTTTAATCATAATCTAAATGTATTGAAGTCATTATTTTTACTATGAGTGGAAGGTTTTCCTTAATTTTTAAGGATTGAAATTGTCTTTAAGAATTAATGATGAATCAGTGATGAATTAGAGTTAGTTGATATGTCGATAAAACATGAGACATTTTACATTTGTAAACCATTAGATATATTATAAATCTATTTATTTCATCATAGCCATCTTTATAGAGTAACAGTAAAATCAAAAATCAAAACAGTTTTTTCAAAGAAAAACATATTGTATTATCAGAATCCCAGAATAATGGGAGTCTTTGAGAAAGACCTTACTGTTTGAGGTCATTTTTGGGATGGGATGGCTTTAGATGGACTGTTGGTCCGTCCATCTGTCCAGCACGTTGGCCAAGATCACGAAGTCTGAGCAACTAGTGGGTCCCTTCACCTTTCCTCTAGTGCAAGACCACTTTATGCAAGACATCAAAAAATCATCTCTTTTAGGCTCCCATTTAATTTGTGTAGCGTATGTGTTTGTGTTTGTGTCTGGAAGAGACTCCTTCTGAAGTAGCACCATATGGCTTGAATCAATGCTCAGTAAACATGGCCAGACACGGCCTGTCTGGCATCCTGGGGGGGGGGGCAGACAAACTGGCAACCCAGCCTTCTGTATACCCCAATCATCCATCCATCCATCCATCCATCCATCCATCCATCCATCTATCCATCTATCCATCCATCCATCCATCCATCCATCCATCCATCCATCCTCCATCCTCCATCCATCCATCCATCCATCCATCCCATCCATCCATCTATCCATCTATCCATCCATCCATCCATCCATCCATCCATCCATCATCCATCCATCCATCCATCTATCCATCCATCCATCCATCCATCCATCCATCCATCCATCCATCTATCCATCTATCCATCCATCCATCCATCCATCCATCCATCCATCCATCCATCCATCCATCCATCCATCTATCCATCTATCCATCCATCCATCCATCCATCCATCCATCCATCCATCCATCCATCCATCTATCCAGGATCCATCCGTAGTCATTGTTTGCTTCGTATACCATCTATCTCTTGCCCCTCCACCCCTCTGCCCAGGCAGACAGGGGGAGGTGGAAGGTTGCAGCCTGATCAATAATGCAAACTGTGTATTAGTGCAGAAACATTACTGCAAGGGAAATGAGAAAGAGGAAATAATGGACAAAATGCAAAATGAGCAGGAATGAAAATCCCTGGACTATTAGTCTGTCGCTGGAGCTGTGCTCATCAGCAAACAGAAAATCTGCCTCTGCCTGAGGGAGGCCAGATGAGGAAGGCAAAGGCTGAGTGTGTGTGTGTGTGTGTGTGTGTGTGTGTGTGTGTGTGTGTGTGTGTGTGTGTGGTATGTGTGTGTGTGTGTGTGTGTGTGTGTGTGTGTGTGTGTGTGTGTGTGTGTGTGTGTGTGTGTGTGTGTGTGTGTGTGTGTGTGTGTGTGTGTGTGTGTGTGTGTGAGGCCGTCGGGGCTCCCTGTGGTCCGGGCCTTGGCAGCAGGAATACTAACGGCTGACAGCTGAGGCCTGTGGCGCTGGTCGGGGTAAAAGAGTGGGTTGGAGGCTGAGTGTCAACAAAGGGGGGGCTGAGATCTACAATGAGAGGCTGCAGAACTCAGTGGGGATGGTGCTGTGTGGCGGCAGCATGAAGAACCTTGATTTTCTTTCTTCTTTTAGTGCTCATCAATGCTTTTGCCTTATGATTGGACTGACCACTTTATCCACCCAACATTACAGTCTGCCAAAGACAGAGTTATTCCTCACTCTTGTATTGCTGCATTGGGTGGAAATATGTGTTTATTGAACCTGGGTGTGGTCACTTTGGACCTGACCCAGTGATGAGTCATCCAATGTGGAAAAGAATGTTGTCAGCAGTAGTTAGCAGCAAGAGTCTTTGCATTTTCTTCTTAGAAACTCTGGTGACCCCTTGACCTCCAGCTGATCAAGTCAAATGATAAAAGTTGGATCTCACTGACAGCTGGCTTTGATTTAGAGTTTTTAGTAAAGTTTGTTGCTGGACGCTGCATCAAACCAAATACATGCAGTAATAGGCTCCACCCCCTGCTACACTATACTGGACATTCTATTGGCCCATTCATTAAACATTGTAAAAAGTTCTCCCTTTTGTTGTTGACATTTCTGTTGTTGACAATATAAACTACAGTTTATTGTCAAATCACATTAAAATATATACAAATGTGAAATGACCCAATATTAGCCTATTGTGCATGCCATCTTTCTTACGGCTGTGAATTGCCATAACATATGGCCGCCCCTTAGCCTATCACTTAAAATGTGTTAGCCAATAACAGCATGAGTGTTACATAGTGATGTCACTATGTTCCAGGAGTACACAAAGGTCTCCAATGGAGGGTGTTTCAGGCAGAAGGGGATTGGGGGTGTGGGAGAGAATCTCCCTCTGGAGGGAACACAGGGATTTCAGCCTTTGCAGACCATTTACATGCACATAAACATATATTGCACACTAGATTATTAAACCTCCAGAAGCATGATAGGGCCCCGCTAAGGGAAACGTTAAGGCTACTGAATGGCAGCTAATGTTCCCAAAAGGTGAAAACAACATTCAAAACTTGCACACTTAACTATAAAGGAATGACAATGCTTTACAATGAAAAGCCCCCCCCCCCTCACATTACGGATGCAGATGATAGGTAGAGGTGAGTGGCTGGGCAGCAGGGTGGCAGGGGTCCATCCAGAGCTGCGTCCCCCCCCCTGCCGGGACGCAGCTGGTCCAGATGCTCCCCTCTGCTCCTCTGTGGCTGCTCTCACTGTTTAATGAGCTGCACAAACAACCAGCTCATAACTGAGGCGTAGAGCCAATGTTTCATATCAAGGACACAACTAATAGAGGACAACTTAAGCAAGGTGTGGGTGGGGGGTTGTATTGTTTGTATAGTGGAGCTGTGTGGACCATAATCACTGCACCCCTGTTGCCCCTTTCACACCAACGCGGTTCCCGTTCTAGCTCCGTGCTAGAGCTTTTCTGGTTCGGAACCGTTTTTTCTTTTCAGCCCCCTTTTTGTTCACACCGCCCAGAGCCCGACTGGTGCTGCCGCTGCTGCGTCATGACGTCACCGTTTACGTCGCTGATTTTCTCCCCAACGGCGTTACGGCGCTCACTACAAGAACAATGGGGGACTGCGTCGGGTCGATGATCGTGTTGCTTTTAATCATACGAAGCCAGATTAAATTAAATAACGACTTCTCCAACCTTATACTTTTGCCGTGGTTCCTTGTTTATTAATGTGTTTCAGCTGCATTTACCGACCGCTGCAGTGCTGGCTGCTCTTCCACGGGAGTGTATTCTCCCGTTAGCTCCGGGTTAGCTCACACGGCTCTAAAGTATTCACTGTCTGACTGTCACACAAGCAGCTGATACATATCCCCAATTCCCCATAAGTGAATGTGTGTCAGTATGAATTGACGCTGTTTGGCATCACAACGCTGTTATTAAAGTTTCTCTGGTATAAAATGGGTGATGTTAGCATAGCAACCAAAGCTAAACTGACTATCTTGACTACTTGTTGTTGCTATCCTATTGTGGCATAAGCCGTTTTCTACAGGCACATTTTACCGGCGTATTTTTCATTATGATTCTACTTGTGATAGTCGGACATGACAACCTGTGCAGCCCATGTATTGATTCCATCCGATAGCTGCTATAATACAAAACAACAAGTCTACCTGCTCTCCACAATGATCAATAACAGCGAACAGATGGTCAAAGTAAGGTACAAAGAAACAGAATCACACGAAGCCTGGTTAGTGTTGCCTGACTTTATAAAGTGTGTTTTTCTTTTTATAAGTGTGTGGTTGCGTTCTAGTCACTTTGCTCAGCGCTACTGCTTGTTACAACTTTTATTTGCCGTACTCGCCTTTATCTGTTAGCTCAGGTTAATCTCGCCCCCCTCCCACGTAAGCGTGACGTATGCGTGACGTATGCGTGACGTGTGCGGTTCTTGCTTCTAGACCGACAATCTTTTGGTGCTTGAAACAAACCGGATTCCGGAGCTTAGAGGCGGCTCCGCTGCGGTGTGAACAGGAAAAACCGGTGCTTTTCAGGCTCTAGCTCCGAACCGGCCCTGGAACCGCGTTGGTGTGAAAGCCCCATATGTGAGCACACACATTAACGGGACCTCTGCTACAAACAGTCCCTCCTATAAACCTGCCATACAGTGAACCAGGCCTTTGCATTGCTTATGAATTACACTTTGATATAGCTAATTAAAAACTCAATTGCATTAAAATAAAATATTACACACACGTGGTTTTGTGAGATCTACTGTGATTGTCATTATACACAAAAGAACAAAACACATCCAAATTCATGGAACAGAAAAAGAGATATAGTATTTTTATCTTTTTTCACTACATTTGGCATTACGGCACTTTGTAATAAGTGCGGGTCACTGTTTGGTTCGTATCTTGTGCACATTCAAGAGGTACTTATTGCATGTTCCCACACACATTGATAATGTTAAACGCACTGATTCATGCTGTTTCTCTGGTGGTGGCAAATGCCAAGAAAGTCAGGAAAGAAGACTGTAATCGTAATTATTTTTATAAGACAGAAATTGCACTCAAAACGTTTTAAGGCTTAAACGTGTTTGGATCAAACACTGGCATCAAAGTAGGGGGGAACATTTTCCACCGGTAACAAAGACAACACAGGATTAGCGATTAATTTCACAAAAAAAACATATTTGGTGCTTACTTGTTGTAAGCACCAAATAGTAAGTTGTATGGTGTGTCTATCCTCTCCATTCTCCATCGCTGTGTCACACACACCAACAGTGAACCAAAGACCAGAAGTTCACAGGTTGCCTCATTAAA